CGCGGTGGCTCAAGCCTGTAATCCCAGCACTTTGGGAGGCCGAGACGGGCAGATCACGAGGTCAGGAGATCGAGACCATCCTGGCTAACACGGTGAAACCCCGTCTCTACTAAAAATACAAAAAACTAGCCGGGCGATGTGGCCGGTGCCTGTAGTCCCAGCTACTCGGGAGGCTGAGGCAGGAGAATGGCGTGAACCCGGGAAGCGGAACTTGCAGTGAGCTGAGATCCGGCCACTGCACTCCAGCCTGGGCGACAGAGCGAGACTCCGTCTCAAAAAAAAAAAAGAAAATGGGAGGACAGGGGCAAGGCGGGCTACTACAACGAGGAAAACGCCCACCCTGAATTTTATTAGATAACTTTGGGAGTTCAGGAACTTTCCAATAAAGTGGGTTCCACAGGATTACTTACTGACTCCCTAATAGAAAGAAGGCAGGCACAGGCTGGGCGCGGTGGCTCACGCCTGTAATCCCAGCATTTTGGGAGGCCGATGCGGGCGGATCACAAGGTCAGGAGATCCAGACCATCCTGGCTAACACAGTGAAACCCCATCTCTACTAAAAATACAAAGAATTAGCCGGGCGTGGTGGCACGTGCCTGTAGTCCCAGCTACTAGGGAGGCTGAGGCAGGAGAATTGTTTGAACCCGGGAGGCGGAGGTTGTAGTGAGCTGAGATCGGGCCACGGCAGGCTAGCCTGGGTGACAGGGCAAGACTCTGTCAAAAAAAAAAAAAAGAGCAGCAGGAACAGGCAGGTCTTCCCTAAGAGACTTTAAAAAAAAAAAAAATGCAGTTGCAACACAAAAGCAGCCACAGAGAAAAGCAAACCCATATATGGTATTTATTATGCACCGAGTGTGGCTCTAATCACTTTTTTTTTTTTTTTTTTTTTTTGAGACAGAGTCTCGCTCTTTCACCCAGGCTGGAGTGCAGTGGCTGGATCTCAGCTCACTGCAAGCTCCACCTCACGCCATTCTCCTGCTTCAGCCTCCTGAGTAGCTGGGACTACAGGCCCCTGCCGCCTCACCCATCTAGTTTTTTGTATTTTTTAGGAGAGACGGGGTTTCACCGTGTTAGCCAGGATGGTCTCGATCTCCTGACCTTGTGATCCGCCCGTCTCGGCCTCCCACAGTGCTGGGATTACAGGCTTGAGCCACCGCGCCCGGCCTTTTTTTTGTTTAATTGAGAGGTAGCCTGGCTCTGCTGATCGGGCTGGAGTGCAGTGGCACCATCATAGCTCATTGCAGCCTCAACCTCCTGGGCTCAAGCAATCCTCCTGCCTCAGCCTCCTGAGTAGCTGGGACCACAGGTGTGAGCCACCACGCCTGGCTAATTGTTTTATTTTTTGTAGAGACAGAGTCTCACTATGTGGCCCAGGCTGGTTTCCAACTCCTGGACTCAAGTGATCCTCCTGCCTCTGCCTCCCAAAGTGCTGGGGATTACAGGCATGAGCCACCTCACCTGGCCTCTAATCGCTTTATATATTTTAACTTAATCCTTGCACGAGCCCTACGAGCTAGTTACAGGAGCACAAATGGAAACCAAGAAACAGAAAAATTTATCAGCATGACTCAGTCCTCAGGGCCATGTATGACCGTGTCCGTGCGTGGCAGGCAGGTCAGGGGCCTGGGGAACGCTGTTCTGGAAACCTTGGCCAGGCCTTGGCACCCCAGGAATGTGCTTTTCAGAGTTTCTGTGGCTCTTTTCCAGACCTGCCCTGACCTGTAGCTCTGGGAACTACGTAAGCCAAGTGCCTTCCGGGAAAGGAGTCCCTCTCTGGTAACTCTTTCCAGGCCTGTCTACCACCAGATGTAGACTCATGACACACACTAAGCCTAGGTCTTATAATTTTTTGTTTTTGCTTTTGAGACAGAGTTTCGCTCTTGTTGCCCAGATTGGAGTGCAATGGTGCGATCTCGGCTCAGCACAACCTCCGCCTCCCCGGTTCCAGCGATTCTCCTGCCTCAGCCTCCCTAGTAGCTGGAATTGCAGGCATGCGCCACCATGCCCGGCTAATATTTTGTATTTTTTTTTTTTAGTAGAAACAGGGTTTCAACTTGTTAGACAGGCTGGTCATGAACTCCTGACCTCAAGTGATCCGCCCGCCTTGGCCTCCCAAAGTGCTGGGATTACAGGCCTGAGCCACCACGCCCGGCATATATATGTATATCTAATATATATATGTGTGTATATATATATCTAATATATATATGTGTGTGTATATGTGTGTGTATATATATATTTTTTTTTCAGAGGGAGTTTCCGTCACCCAGGCTGAAGTGTAGTGGCGTGATCTCGGCCCACTGTAACCTCTACCTCCCAGGTTCAAGTGATTCTCCTGACTCAGCCTCCCAAGTAGCTGGGACTGCAGGCGCCTGCTACCACGCCTGGCTAATTTTTGTAGTTTTAGTAGAAACAGGGTTTTGCCATGTTGGCCAGGCTGGTCTCAAACTCTTGACCTCAGGTGATCCACCCCCCCCTTGGCCTTCCTAAGTGCTGTTATTACAGGCATGAGCCACTGTGCCCAGCCGTCTTAATTTTTTTTTAAGGGAAATCAAACCCAGTGATATTGGGCCAGCGCATTGGCTCACACCTGTAATTCCGGCGCGCTGGGAGGCTGAGGCAGGCGAATCACCTGAGGTCAGGAGTTCGAGACCAGCCTGGCAAACATGGCGAAACCCCGTCTGTAATAAAAATACAAAAATCAGCCAGGCGTGGTTGCATGCACCTGTAATCTCGGCTGTTCGGGAGGCTGAGGCATGAGAATTGCTTGAACCTGGGAACAGGAGGTTGCAGTGAACTGGTATCACACCACTGCACGCCAGCCTGGGTGACAGAGCAAGAATCTGTCTCCAAAAAAAAAAAAAAGAAAAGAAAAAAAGAAAAATCCAGTGATACTGACTTTTTAAATTTTTATTTACTTATTTTTTGCTTTAAGTTTAATTTTTAAATTTATATATATATATATATTTTTTTTTTTTGAGATGGAGTCTCGCTCTGTAGCCCAGGCTGGGGTGCAGTGGTGCAATCTCGGCTCACTGCAAGCTCTGCCTCTAGGGTTCACGCCATTCTCCTGCCTCAGCCTCCCGAGTAGCTGGGACTACAGGCGCCCGCCACCTCGCCTGGCTGAATTTTTTTTTTTTTTGTGTATTTTTAGTAGAGATGGGGTTTCACCGTGTTAGCCAGGATGGTCTTGATATCCTGACCTCGTGATCCGCCCGCCTTGGCCTCCCAAAGTGCTGGGATTACAGGCGTGAGCCACCGCGCCTGGCCAATTTATCTTTGTTTTTGAGACACAGTCTCACTCTGTCACCCAGGCTGGAGTGCAGTGCTGCAACCACAGCTCAGTGCAGCTTTGACCGCCTGGGCTCAAGCCATCCTCCTGCCTCAGCCTCCCGAGCAGCTGGGACTACAGGCACACACAACCATGTCCAACTTATTTTTGTAGTTTTTGTAGAGACAGGGACCCACTGTGTTGCTCTGACTGGCTTTGAACACCTGGGCTCAAGTGATCCCCCCGCCTCACCCTCCCAAAGTGCTGGGATTACAGGCCTGAGCCACCACACCCAGTCTTCACTTTTTTGTTTAACGTCACAAATGGCATAAGGAATGGGATTCAATGGGGACACATTTATAAATGTTGCAGCAGCTCCTAGAACTTGCCTATCCTTGTAAACTTCTCTAGGTGATTGCTAATTATTTCAATTTGACCTTGACACTGAGCCTGCCAAGTAAGTTCAAGCATTTTAATGGCCCCTTTACAGGTTGGGAAAGCTAATTTATCTGTCCAAGCCCCCTAATTCTGAAACTGTGTCTTAACTGCCAGAAATTCTTTTTTTTTTTTTTTTGAGACGGAGTCTCGCTCTGTCGCCCAGGTTTGAGTGCGGTTGCCGGATCTCGGCTCACTGCAAGCTCCGCCTCCCGGGTTTACGCCATTCTTCTGCCTTAGCCTCCCGAGTAGCTGGGACTACAGGCGCCCGCCACCTCGCCCGGCTAGTTTTTTTTTTTTATTTTTTAGTAGAGACGGGGTTTCACCGTGTTAGCCAGGATGGTCTCGATCTCCTGACCTCGTGATCCGCCCGCCTTGGCCTCCCAAAGTGCTGGGATTACAGGCTTGAGCCACCGCGCCCGGCCAACTGCTAAAAATTATTGTTATCAATTTCTTCTTCTGGGTTGGGCACAGTGGCTCATGGCTGTAATGCCAGCAATTTGAGAGGCATCATAATGCAACAGGAAGAGGATTGCGTGAAGCCAGGAGTTCGGGACCAGCCTGGGCAACATAGTCCCCATCTATAAAAAAAATTAAAAATTAGCTGGGCATGGTGGTGCACTCCTGTGGCCCCAGCTATTCCGGAGGCTGAGGTGGGAGGATTCCTTGAGCCCAGGGTTGATGCTGCAGAGAGCTGTGGTCACGCCACTGCATTCCAGCCTGAGTGACACAGCTGGAAATAATGATAAATAAATAATAATTATAAAAAATAAAATTATTCTCCCTGATTAATCTTTTTTTTTCCTACTGAGAGTTCAATTTGTCTCTTTTCTGCCTCGTCCCCTAGGTTTCCCTGAAATCCTGCTGAGAGGTTAGCACTCCCTGCCAAAGTCAGTCTGCAAAACCCCAGAGAAATCCAGCTCATTCCTGGGGAAAACCACCAAGACTGCCCAGCCCTGTGTGGGGTTCAAGCAAGTTTCTCACACGTGCCTTCTTGGCATAAGGTCTCTGCAATCCCATGAGTCCGCAAAGAGACTCAATTCTAAAAGTTGGTCTCCACCAGCTCTCTGTGGCTTAGGGGGTCAAGTTCAACTGTGAAAGCCCTGTTCTGTTTTGATTTTGCTTTGAGGGGGAGGAAGCCGCCCCTTCTGTTTGTTTAACTCCTTCTCCTAAAGGGAGAAATCAATATTTATGTCCAGACACCAGGTATCTGTACAATTGATTTTTCAGATGTTTATACTGATAATTCATCCAGAGGCAGGATCTCACAAAAACAAAAAAAATTTTTTTTTGGCTGTACTTTTGTGAAGATTTTATTTAAATTCCTTATTGATCAGTGCTTATAAGGTGATTTGGAATAACCATGTAAAAACAATATACAACGAAAGTAAGCTAAAAATCTATATACAATTCCTAGAAAGGAAAAGGCAAATATAGAGAGTGGCGGAAGTTCCCAACATTTCTAGTGTTTTCCTTTTGAGGCAGAGAGGGGATTGGCATTAGGCTATTGGAGGATTTTGAAAGGATGCTGTTATCCTTCTGTGGACAAAAACAACAACATATTAACAGTTAAACGTGGAGACATTTCAGGGGGATCTTTCAGAAGATACATTTCTAATTTTGGGGGGGAGTCAGCTCTTCACCAGAGACCCGAATACAGCAAATCAAGTCGCCTGCCCTGGCAACACTTTCAAAAGACTGGAGTGGGAATCAGAGCTTCACGGGTTAAAAAGCCGATGTCACATCAGCCGTTCGAAACTCCTCCTCTCACAGTGAGGTGAAGACATTTGAAAATCACCCCACTGCAAACTCCTCCCCCTGCTAGAAACCTCACGTTGAAATGCTGTAAATGACGTGGGCCCCCGAGTGCAATCGCGGGAAGCCAGAGTTTCCAGCGAGGACACAGCGGGTCCTGATCCGGGTCGGGACACTTTCTGGCAGAAGCAGCGAGCATGGGGCCCTGGGGCTGGAAACTGCGCTGGACCGTCGCCTTCCTCCTCGCCGCGGCGGAGGCTGCAGGTAAGGCTTGCTCCAGGCGCCCACGTAGGGCGAGAGGGAATCCCCGGGGGGCCCCTTGGGAATTTTTTTTTTTTTGGGGGGGTAAAAATAATCACTCTATCCCTGGAAGACTTGTAGGGTAATGGCACGGGGTCCTTCCCAAACGGCTGGAGGGGGCGCTGAGTAGGGCGCGAAGGTCGGGAGGAGTCTGAGGGATTTAAAGGAAACGGGGCACGGCTCGCCCCCAAGTCTCCACCAGGTAAGGGACACCTTCCTCTTCTTTATTTTTGAGACGGAGTCTAGCTATATCGCCCAGGATGGAGTGCAGTGGTGCGATCTCTGCTCTCTGCAATCTCCACCTCCCAGATTTAAGCAATTCTCCTGTCTCAGCCTCCCGAGTAGCTGGGATTACAAGCGCCCAACCACCACGCCCGGCTAATTTTTGTACTTTTAGTAGAGACGGGGTTTAACCATTTTGGCCAGGCTGGTCTCGAACTCCTGACCTCAGGTAATCTGCCCGCCTCGGCCTCCCAAAGTGCTGGGATTACAGGCGTCAGCCAAGGCGCCCGGCCGGGACCCCTTCTTCTAACTCAGAGCGGGGTGTGGGGACCTAAAAGAAGGGACCACCCCCCCCTCCCCGCTTAAGTCCTTCTGGGGACGAGGGTCGCGTGACTGGAGACCAGATGTCCAGCCTGGAGGTCCCCGCGGGCTCAGGGGTCCTGATCCGCTTTGCGCGACCCCAGGGCGCTACTGCCACCCTAGGTTGGGTGCAGTTCTCGGATTCCGCCGCGTGCTCTGTCCGGGGGCCACCCCCTCCCGCCTCTGCCCCCGCCCCTTTGGCCCGCCTCCCGAATTCCATTGGGCGCAGTCCGAACAGGCCACCCTCGAGCCACTCCCCTCATCCAATGGGAGGCGGTGGAGGTGGAGGCCGGCGTCTGGAAGGCGGGGATTGTGTACTAGCTGGGCGGGGATGGCGCGGAAGTCTGAGCCGCACCTCGTCCAGGGCTAGGCGGCTTCATGGTAGCCTTGCGTTCCTCCGCGGTTCCTGTCACAAAGGCGGCGACAAGTCCCGGGTCCCCGGAGCCGCTTCTGCGACATACACGAGTCGCCCTCCGTTCGCCCGGGCCCACCCGGCGAAGGCCCCGGTTTCTGCTGTGCTCTATGGCGAGACCTCCATCCCCACCTTGTCCTGGGGGCCGCCCCCGCCCCGCCAGCCCCGGTCAAGTTCACATAGGGGCCCCCGACCACCCTCAAGGCCTCGGTTCCTTCCAAGGCTGAAACGTTGTCTCAGAATCTACCTCCTTGGTCTGAAGCCGAGATCTTCCGACCCCTTGGGGTGGCCTCGCCTCTTCAGAGGCTGTGAATGGCTTCGGTTCAGCTGTCCAAGTGGCAATTTTTCCTCTGGGTGAAATGGATTCGATTTTAGATTTCCACAGGAGGCTGGTTGGTGCATGATCCTGAGTTAGAGCTTTTTCGGTGGCTTTAAATCAGTTGCAGAGAGAGAGCCTCGCCCTAGACAATAGCTATATGGTCCTTTCCCTCCTGAGAACCAGCCCAACCTAGAAAAGGATTGGGATTGCCTGTTGAACAGAAGGATTGCAGGAAACTTTTTTTTTAATTGGCAAGGGGGGTTGGCTTTGACTGGAGGGAGAGCTTTGAACTGCCTTGAAATTCACGCCATAACTAACACACCGGTTTCCTCTGGGAGGCCAGAGAGGGAGGGAGGGAAGGTGCAGTGAAATACGGATGATTATTCTTTTATTTTTATTTATTTAATTATTTTTTAACTTTTTGTAGAGATGAGGTCTCGCTTTGTTACTCAGGCTGGTCTTGAACTCCTGGCCTCAAGCGATCCTCCTATCTCAGCCTTCCAAAATGTAGGGATTACAGGAGTTAATCACCGCGCCCCACCAGGGATGACGATTATTGCAAACATTCTGCCACCCAGTTTTACAAAAGAAAGAGAGGCACTGAGGCTGGGCGCGGTGGCTCAAGCCTGTAATCCCAGCACTTTGGAAGGCCGAGACGGGTGGATCACGAAGTCAGGAGATCGAGACCATCCTGGTGAACACAGTGAAACCCTGTCTCTACTAAAACTACAAAAAACTAGCCGGGCGAGGTGGCGGGCGCCTGTAGTCCCAGCTACTCGGGAGGCTGAGGCAGGAGAATGGCGTGAACCCGGGAGGCAGAGCTTGCAGTGAGCTGAGATCGGCCACTGCACTCCAGCCTGGGCAACAGAGCGAGACTCCGTCTCAAAAAAAAAAAAAAAAAAAGAAAGAGAGGCACTGGATTAACGTGTATTTCACTCACCAATCAACCTCTTCCTTAAGAGAAAATGTTAAGGGAGTCTTAAGCAAGACCTTGTTCGTTCATCACTTTAGCTGTCTCTCCCGCGGGGTGGCTGAGAATGTGATGTTTCTTCTGTTGTCAAGGAGACCACACCCCTGATGTTTCCCTCCAGACTTCTGAGAGCTTGGTGATGTGTGTTTCTAGCACTCCTAGCTGCGCTACCTCAGGCTCCAGCTGGCTTCAAGGCATATCCAGGGGGGAGTTTCTTGTCATTTCCTTTACAAAGGGAAGTTGTTGGAATCTGAACACTTAGATCAAAATTAGGCAACAGTGGTGAGCGCAGCTCCAAACATGTCAATGGCTCACCCGAACTTGAGTAAGGGAGTTGTTTGCTTTAGCGAGCCCCAGGGTGATTCCCTTGTCATTTCCGGACATACCTATCTTCCAGGGAACACTGGGAAAAAACAGTGTTTGTTGAGACTGAAAACCTGTAGGGAATTCTCTTCCTCATTCCTGCTCTTATCTGTAGACTTCCTCCCTGATAAGATCCAATTCTAGATGGGTCTGTTGTTGCTTGCTTTGATGGGTGCTTTGATGGACTTTTTTTTTTTTTTTTTTTTTGAGGCGGAGCCTCGCTCTGTCACCCAGGCTGGAATGCAATGGCCGGATCTCAGCTCACTGCAAGCTCCGCCTGCCGGGTTCAAGCAATTCTCCTGCCTCAGCCTCCAGAGTAGCTGGGATTATAGGTGCCTGCCACCATGCCCGGCTAATTTTTGTATCTGTGGTAGAGATGAGGGTTCACCATGTTGGCCACGCTGGTCTCGAACTCCTGACCTAGTGATCCACCCGCCTCGGCCTCCCAAAGTGCTGGGATTACAGGCGTGACCCACCCACCATGCCGGCTGATCAACTGATTTCTCATTCATTTTCAGCTGGCTGTGTTCCCTCCAGCCAGGGCATTTTTGTTTGTTTGTCTCCCTTTCAAGGAAATTATTCTAGCTGCAATTGTGGATTTCCTCGTACAACTGTTTTCAGTAGCACGAGGAAAGAAAACATCGAAAGCATTCACCACCTCATTTGTGTGCTGGGGCAAAAAGCAGAAATGTGTATTCTTTCTGTTTCGATAACCTGTTCCTGCCTTGTCACTCGTGACTTGAGAGATCGGAAGCCTAGAGGACTGGAATTTATAGAGATTTTTTTTTTTTGAGACGGAGTCTTGCTCTGTCACCCAGGCTGGAGTGCAGTGGCACGATCTCGGCTCACTGCAACCTCTGCCACCCAGGTTCAAGTGATTCTTCTGCCTCAGCCTCCCGAGTAGCTGGGACTACAGGCGCACGCCACCACACCTGGCTAATTTTTGTATTTTTAGTAGAGACGGGGTTTTACCATATTGGCCAGGCTGGCCTCGAACTCCTGACCTCATGATCCATCCGCCTCAGCCTCCCAGGGTGCTGGGATTAAAGGCATGAGCCACCGCACCCGGCCTTTTGTGTTTTTGGTTTTGGTTTTTTGAGAGGAGCTCAGTGCTTTTTAGGCATCCTTAGCATGAGAAAAATCTGGGGATCCATGCTCTAGTTTGCTTCTTTTTTTGTTTTTTTTTGTTTTGTTTTGTTTTTTTAAATGGAGTCTCGCTCTGTCACCCAGGCGATCTCAGCTTATTTCAACTTCCGCCTCGGGGGTTCAAGTGATTCTCGTGTCTCAACCTCCTGGGTAGCTGGGATACAGGCACCCGCCCCCATGCCTGGCTAATTTTGTACTTTTAGTAGAGACAGGGTTTTGCCATGTTGGCCAGGCTGGTCTCGAACTCCTGACCTCGGGTGAGCCGCCCACCTTGGCCTCCCAAAGTGCTGAGATTACAGGCATGAGCCACCACACCTGGCCTAATTCGCTTTTCCTGAAATTCAAATGGTCTAATATGAAAAATGCCAACCTTGCTTGAAAGAATAAGAAAGAGGTGTGGTTTCATTGGGCTGGTCGTGTTTGGAACAGGACTGGCTTTGTCCCCTTGTTTGGGAAGGGCAGCATCTGTGAGGACACCTCCCTGATGTGCTCTCACTCAGTACTATTCTGTTCCTGAGCCGTGTCCCCACTAGCTGGGCCAAGGGAGCTCGTTTTGCAGGCAACTGCTGTCTAGCTGCGCCTGTTGCAGTAAAATCCCCCTTCATTTTTCAAAGGAAGGGTCTTGTCCTGTCACCCAGGCTGAAGTGTGCAGTCATAGCCCACTGCAGCCTCCAGCTTCTGCACCCAACTGATCCTCCTCTCTCAGCCTCCTGAGTAGCTGGGACTACAGGCCTGTGTCACCACTCCCAGCTAAGTTTGTTTATTTATTTGTTCATTTATTGAGACGGAGTTTTGCTCTTGTTGTCCAGGCTGGAGTGCAATGGCGCGATCTCGGCTCACCGCAACCTCTGCCTCCCGTTTCAAGCGATTCTCCTGCCTCAGCCACCGGAGTAGCTGGGATTACAGGCATGCGCCACCACGCCTGGCTAATTTTGTATTTTTAGTAGAGATGGGGTTTCTCCGTGTTGGTTCAGGCTGTTCTAGAACTCCCAGCCTCAGGTGATCCACCCACCTCGGCCTCCCAAAGTGCTGGGATTATAGGCGCGAGCCACCACACCAGGCCACTCTCGGCTAAGTTTAAATTATTTTTGTTTGTTTGTTTGTTTTTATTTTTTGAGACAGGGTCTCCTGCCCAGGCTGGAGTGCAGATCACTGCAGCCTCCACCTCCCAA